CCTCAACTTCTTGGGTTTAAGCAATTCTCCTGCCTCAGCCTCCCGAGTAGCTGGAATTACAGGTGGGCACCATAACTCCCGGCTAATTTTTGTACTTTTAGTATAGATGGGGTTTTGCCATGCTGGCAAGGCTGGTCTTGAACTTCTGGCCTCAAGTGATCCACCTGCCTTGGCCTCCCAAAGTGCTGGGATTACATGTGTGAGCCACCATGCCCAGGCAGACCCTGATTCTTTTCCCCTCCCTGTAGCCACACCCTTTGCCATATGAATATAGTTTCCTTCACAGAGGTGAGCAGGTACTTCTTCAACGCTTGTCTGTGAGCTCAGTCATACAACTTGTGTTAGCCAATAGGATCTTAGCAGGTGTGACATGAGCAGAGGCCTTAAAATGTGCTTGTGTGGTTAGTTAGGCTTGCTATTCTGTCTTCTGCCATCACCATAAGGAGAATATATCTTGGCTAGACCACTGATCCCAGGAGGGTCCTTTAGTCCCAGGAGGAGGATGAGACATGTAGAGTACAACTTTCCCAACTGACAAACTTGGGAGCAAGAAATAAATGTGAATTGTTATATTACACTGATTTTGTGGTGGTTTGTTATGCAGCATTATTGTAGCAAGAGCTGACCAATACAGGGAGCCAGGCACTACTGGGACTTGTAGCCCATCCTCTGTCTTCAGTCCATTCATGAGTGACTGGGGTTGGAAAAATTGGTAAAGGATGGTTTATTTGAAGAGAATTGCTAGGGGTGCTGTCTATTCCACCAGGCCCACTTCATGCTTAGAGAACTTTACATGGGTGTGAGAATATGGGGGATATCATCCTTCACCCAAGGCCCCTTTGGAACTGTAGCAGAGTGCCTGGGACAGCCTGGGACAGCTCTTCTGGATTTGGAGGCCACGGAACCTGGGCCTCGGCTCCTGTTTGGAGACCTTGAAGGTGGAGAGGCTGGCAGCAGGTCTAGAAGGAAGGCTGTAGCAGACTCTCAGTCTGTACTTTCAGAGTCCCACAAGGTAAAGGCCCTTGTTTTCAAGTGAGTTAAGTGATCACCAAGAGGGAAAGTACGGCTGGAGTTGTCTTCAGAGGATTCTACCAAAGATGCCTGGCTACCAGGGTTAAGTCCCCTAGCAAAAAGAAGCTGAGTGGGGAGGAGGCAGACTGCCAGATGGAGAAGCTGAGGGGAAAGAAGAAGCAGTGAGGTGAAGGAAGATTGCCCGTGCCAGGAAAGAAGGCACTGGGCGCCCCTGCAGCGTGGGAGAAAGAGCCAGACAACACCTCTGTAGCTACCTACCCTTCCCAAGTGGAGGAACCAGAAACAGACCGAGGTGAACAAAGAACAGAGAAGACACCGATCACCATACCCAGCTCCCCGCTATAGGCTTCCCAGCTGAGGTCAAGCCCCAGCTGCGGGTGTGTGACATTTGGGGTGGACAAGAATGAAGTTTTGAAATCAGACCAGATTGGACCCTTACTATCTGAAAACGAGACCATTTCTTAAATCTTAAAAGTGGCTGGAAAAGCTCAAGGATCTGCCCCCGATATAACCCACTGGCAGGGCAGGGAGATCAGAGAGGGTACGACAAGCAATAGTGAGAGAGTTGTTTTTTGCTTTGCCTCCTGCGAATAGAAGCTCATTCAGTCAATAAACTGGTTACCTGTATATAGAATATCTGCGGGATTCAAGTTCATTTATTTACATCCAACAGCAGTTGAGCACTTGAAACAGTGCCTCCCTTCCTACAACAATCGAACCCCAGTTGCTTTTTTTTTTTGAGATGGAGTCTTGCTCCGTCCCCCAGGCTGGAGTGCAATAGCTCAGTCTTGGCTCACTGCAACCTCCGCCTCTGGGTTCTAGTGATTCTCCTGCCTCAGCCTCCAGAGTAGCTGGCATTACAGGCGCCCCCCAGCAAATCCAGCAAAGTTTTGTACTTTTGACAGAGACGGGGTTTCACCATGTTGGTCGGGATGGTCTCAAACTTCTGACCTCAGGTGATCCACCTACCTCAGTCTCCCAAAGTGCTGAGATTACGGGTGTGAGCTACTGCGCCTGGCTTTTTTTTTTTTTTTTTTTTAAAAGACAGGGTCTCGCTCTGTTGCCCAGGCTGGTGTGCAGTGGCTCAATCTTGGCTCACTGCCTCTGCCTCCTGGGTTGAAGTGATTCCCATACCTCAGCCTCCCGAGTAGCTAGAACTACAGGTGCATACCACCACACCCAGCTAATTTTTGTATGTTTAGTAGAGATGGGGTTTTGCCATGGTGGCCAGGCTGGTCTTGAACTCCTGACCTCAAGGCCTGCCTTGGCCTTCCAAAGTGCTGAGATTACAGGTGTGAGCTGCCATGCCCACCCCACAATTGCTTTTGATTTTTCAGGAAGCTCAGAATCAGGTCGGAGAACCAATAATAACAGCTACCACTTACCAAGCTCCTACCACAAGCAAGGCTCTGACTAAACACGTCATATGCGCAGTCTTATTTCATCTCCCTAAGAGTTCCCTGGGGTCTGGCTTATGCCCTCAATTTATAGATGCAGAAACTGAGGCTCTGGGAGGAAAACCAGCTTGCCATAGGAAACTCAAATCTCTCTCTATTATTGATAAACCATAAATTGTGCTGTTTTTCCTTGGCTTTGAATTTCTATTACTATTATTTTGAGACAAGGTCTCCCTCTGTCTACCAGGCTGAAGTGCAGTGGTGTGAACACAGCTCACTGCATCTTTGACCTCCTGGGCTCTGGCAACCCTCCTACCTCAGCCTCCTGAGTATCAAGGACCACAGGTGTATGCCAACCCAACCAGATAATTTTTAATTTTAATCTTATTTTTATTTATTTATTTTTTTGAGACACGAGTCTCACTCAGTAGCTCAGGCTGGAGTGCAGTGGCAAGATCTCAGCTTGCTGCAACCTCCACCTCCCAGGTTAAAGTGATTCTCCTGCCTCAGCCTCCTGAGTAGCTGGGATTACACGCATACCACCATGCCTGGCGAATTTTTGTATTTTTAGTAGAGACAGGGTTTCACCATGTTGCTCAGACTTGTCTTGAACTCCTGACATCATGATCTACCTGCCTCCCAAAGTGCTGGGATTACAGGCGTAAGCCACCATGCCCGGCTTATTTATTTATTTATTTTTGAGATAGAGTCTCGCACTGTCACCTAGGCTGTAGTGCAGTGGTTGGCTCACTGAAATATCTGCCTCCTGGGTTCAAGCAATTCTCTTGCCTCAGCCTCCCGAGTAGCTGGGACTACAGGCGTGTGCCACCATGCCCAGCCAATGTTTTTGTATTTTTAGTAGAGACAGGGTTTCATCGTGTTGGCCAGAATGGTCTGGATCTCCTGACCTCATGATCTGCATGCCTCAGCCTCCCAAAGTGCTGGGATTACAGGTGTGAGCCACTGCACCCGGCTAATTTTTTTAGTTTTTTAGAGTCAGGGTTTCATCATGTTGCCCAGGCTGGTCTCCAACTCCTGGGGTCAAGTGATCTGCCTCAGCCTCCCAAAATGTTAGGATTATAGGCATGAGCCACCGAGCCCAGCTAATTTTCTATTATTTCTTTTTTTTTTTTTTACCTTTTTTTTTTTTTTTTTTGAGACGGAGTTTCGCTGTTGTTGCCCAGACTGGAGTGCAATGGCACGATCTCGGCTCACCGCAACCTCCGCCTCCTGGGTTCAAGCAATTCTCCTGCCTTAGCCTCCCGAGTAGCTGGGACTACAGGCACGCACCATCATGCCCAGCTAATTTTTGTATTTTTATTAGAGACGAGGTTTCACCTTGTTGACCAGGATGGTCTCAATCTCTTGACCTCGTGATCCACCCACCTTGGCCTCCCAAAGTGCTGGGATTATAGGCGTGAGCCACCGTGCCCGGCCTTTTTTGACCATTTTAATGTTTTTTTTTTTTTTTAAGTTCAGGTTTGTTACATAGGTATACATGTGCCATGGTGGTTTGCTGCACCTATCAACCCGTCATTTAGGTTTTAAGCCTGGATGCATTAGGTGTTTGTTCTAATGCTCTCTCTCCCCTTGTCCCCCAGCCCCCGAAAGGCCCAGGTGTGTGATGTTTCCCTTCCTGTGTCCATGTGTTCTCCTTGTTTAACTCCCACTTATAAGCGAGAACATGCAATTTTCTATTATTTCATGGCTTGCTCAGGTACACAGGGACCCCTTTTTTCTCTGACCACATGTGGGTTATCTTCAGATGATTTAGAACAGGAATCCAGGGCCGGGCAGGGTGGCTCCTGTCTATAATCCCAGCACTCTGGGAGGCTGAGGTGGGCGGATATCTTGAGGACAGCAGTTCAAGACCAGTCTGGCCAACATGGTGAAATCCCATCTCTACTAAAAATAAAAAAAATTAGCCAGGCGTGGTGGCACATGCTTGAAATTCCAGCTGCTCAGGGGGCTGAAGAAGGAGAATTGCTTGAACTTGGGAGGCAGAGGTTGCAGTTGGCCAAGATCATGCCACTGTACTCCAGCCTGGGTAACAGAGTAAGACTCTCAAAAGCAACAACAACAACAACAAAAAAAAAACATCCAAGAATCCAGAAGGTATTCCCTGATTGTGAATATGAGAGAAGCCTGCAAACACATCCCTTTGAGAAGGCTCAGTGCAGACCCCACCCTCACTGCAGGCTTCTCTGTAGGTAGGTTCCAACCTCCCCTGACCTAATTCCAACAGGTTGGGTTTCCATAAACCCTAACTACAGCAGGTGGCTGCTCTGAGCCAAGGAGCAACCAAGGACCCCACAAGCTCCAGCCCCTCCAACACCTCCCATGCCCACCAGGGATGGTATCTGCCTCTGGGACCCCCATTTGAGCTCTAGTGGCCAGGAGGCTAGAAGTTCAGCTCCAAGGCCTTCTGCTTTTGCTCCCAACCATTCCCCTGGTGCAGGTCAGCGCGAGACAGATTCCTCCCTGAATCCTCCCAGGCTGGCCCACCAGGCATTGTCCTTAGGGTCACCTTGAAAAGAAGAAAAAAAACCCTTCTCTCTTCACAGTACTCACTTGGAAGCGTGCGACTATTGCTGAGGCTGCCAGTACTGGGTGGTGGGGAGAGGGACTGCAGGGAGACACTGTCTTCCTCCTGCGAGCAGCCTGCCTGGATGGCACGCAGGTAGCTGTGGCTACGGGAGCGGAAGTAGCTGGGCAGTGGCAAGTCAAGGGTCTCCGCCGCTGTGGACTCCGCCTCACTGCAGGCTGACTCGCAGGCTGCCTCATACTGGTCACTCAGCTCTGCCTCCCGTACCTGTCCAGGCAAAGGCAGGCATGAGGCGGGGAGAGAAGTTCTTGATAGTGGGCTTAGTTGCAGGGCTGGATGGTCTGTGGGGCCTGACCTCAGCCCACTCAGCTCCATCTCACTCAGGGTATGGGACTGGCAGATGGAGCCCTTAAGAAAGAAACAGCTCTACCTCTCTGGGCCTCAATTTTCCCATCTCTATAATGAGGACAAAGTTGGAATATCACAGGATGTTAACTGATAAAAATCAGGGTCCACACTGATTAATAGTAGATTCTAAGGTTACATTATGAATTCAGTGGGAAAGAGATCTATAATCACAGAGGTTGTAATGAGCAAAGGTCTCACCATTGCACTCCAGCCTGGGCAGCAAGAGCAAAACTCCATCTCAGAAAAAAATAAAAAATAATAAAAAAATAAAAGAAAGAGATCTATAATCAACTAGTAATGTCTGTCCTGAATGTTGGAATGGGGGTGGTAGTAGGTATGCTGGATATTTACCATCTGATGGTCCAATCCCTTTATTTTACAAGGAAAGAAACCAAGGGGGTCAGTAAGGGGAAGTCACTCGCCAGGGGTACCCAGTGAGGAAGTAGCAGAGCCAACACTCCAAATATGTATTTAAGGAAGATTAATCCAGCCTTGGTATACAGAATGGATGTTAGGAAAGGGGTCTGGAATGGAGGCAGAGGCCAGAGATGAAGCTGAAGCAATCGTCTGGCAGGAGAAAATAAAACTGGAATAAGGGTAGTTGCAGTGAGGATTGATTAATGATGTCTGCCATGGACACGATGGAAAATGGTGGTGTGTATGCTATCTGCTATCTTGCATCTAGTTCAACTTCATGTAGGTAGTTCCTAAGTATTTCTCCACAAATGACTGTCTAGGACCCCGCAAATCTGAAGCCAAGGGTGTGAGCATTGAGGGGTCTCACCATGCACATACCCTTTGAGGGTCCTGGAGGGGCCATCTTACCCATGTCTCAGGCCATGTTGGTAACTGAAGACCACAGAGGATAAGCTGGGGAGTCAGTTGGCCAAAGATGTGGACGTCCTGGGGGTTGGCCTGGGCCAAAGTGGGAGGGGCACAAGCTGAATGACCATGTGGAGGAAAGGGTTGATCTGGTCCTGGTGCCAGCTGTGTCCCACTCAGCTGTGTAACCTCAGGCCATCACTATCTTCTCTGGGTCAGTTTCTCCTCATCTACATGAAATGGATGTTTGTGTATTCATCTGAGACTGCATCAGATCAAACAACTAGATGGGTGTTCACCCAATTTGGAGGGAGGATGGAAAGGTCTAAATCTGTACATTTCTTTTTTTTTTTTTTTTTTTTAACCCCTGTCCCCATCTGTGCATTTCAATATGGCGGCCACGAGCTATGTGTGGCTATTAAGGTATAAATTAAAATTCACCCTGGGCAACACAGTGAGACCTCAGCTCTACAAAAGAAATTACAAATACAAAAATTAGCCAGGTGTGGTAGTATGCACCTCAAGTCCCAGCTACTTGAGCCCAGGAGTTTGAGGCTGCAGTAAACTATGACTGTGATACTGCACTCCAGCCTGGGGGACAAAGCAAGGTCCTGTCTCTAAAAAAATTTTTTTCAAAAATAATTGATTAGGCCAGGCATGGTGGCTCATGCCTGTAATCCCAGCACGTTGGGAGGCCACGGCGAATAGATCACTTGAGGTCAGGAGTTTGAGAACAGCCTGGCCAACATGATGAAACCCTGTCTCTACTAAAAATCCAAAAACTGATCAGGTGTGGTGGCACATGCCGGTGGTCCCAGCTACTTGGGAGGCTGAGGCAGGATAATCACTTGAACCCTGGGGGAGGAGGTTGCAGTGAGTGGAGACTGGGCCACTACACTCCACCCTGGATGAAAGAACAAGACTTTCACCTAAGACTCCGTCCCAAAAAAAAAAAAAAAAAAAAAAAAAAGGGCTGGCCATGGTGGCTCACACCTGTAATCCCAGCACTTTGGGAGGCCAGGGCAGGTGGATCATGAGGTTAGGAGATGGAGACCATCCTGGCTAACACAGTGAAACCTCATCTCTACTAAAAATACCAAAAATTAGCTGGGTGTGGTGGCAGGCACCTGCAGTCCTGGCTACTTGGGAGGCTGAGGCAAGAGAATCACTTGAACCCTGGAGGCGGAGGGTGCAGTGGGCCAAGATCGTGCCACTGCACTCCAGCCTGGGCAACCGAGCAAGACTCCATCTCAAAAAAAAAAAAAAGAAAAAGAAAAAAAATTGATTAAAATTAAATAAAGTTCCATAGTCACAGTAGCCACATTTGACATTTGACTTGCTCAAGACCACAGGCAGGCCAGTCACAGTGGCTCACACCTGTTATCCCAGCACTTTGGAAGGCTGACATGGGAGGATTCACTTGTGTTCAGGAGTTTGAGACCAGCCTAAGCAACATAACGAGACCCTGTCTCTTATAAAAAATTAGCCAACCATGGTGGTGCACACCTGTAGTCCCAGATATTTGGGAGGCTGAGGTGGGACGTTCACCAGAGCCTGGGAGGTCAAGGCTGCAGTGAGCCATGATCGCACTACTGCACTAAGCCTGGGTTACAGAGTTAGACCCTATCTCAAAAATAAACAAATAAATAAAGTCACATATAGCTAATGGCTACCTTGTTGGACAGTGTGGATTAAAGAACATTTCTATCACTGCCAAGTTCTACTGTACAGCACTGATAAATTAAAATATAGGCCATGTGGCATACCCAAATTCACTCGGAAGGAGTGTTAAAGAGATAGGTGTTTCTCCTCCAAAACTGCAACCTGAAGTTATGCAGAGACCCTTGCGACTGCTCGGGGCATGAGGTCTCACTTCAGAGTGGCACAGGAACCACAAGGCTCTGGAACTAGACTGCCAGGGGTCCAACCCTGGGCCCACCATTTCCTCGAAATATGAATGTAGGCAAGTCACTTAATCACTTTGTGCCTCAGGTTCCCCACCTATAAAATGGGGCTAACTATAGTCCCCATTTCACAGGGTGTGGGCAAGATGAAATGAGAATTTATATGACAGTCTTAGGATATGGACTGAGAGAATATGCACCTAGTAACCTCCACCCACGAATATAGGGTAGCTCGTGGAGTCTGTCAACGTTGGTTAAGATGCTCTCAAGCTGTTGGTGCAGAGGCCAGCTGGTCAGCGCTTCTGGTGTGTGTATCACTGAGGATTTACTGTGTGGGGGGCACTGTTCTGGGGGCTTTGTATGTTAACACATCACATCGGCCGGGCGCGGTGGCTCACGCCTGTAATCCCAGCACTTTGGGAGGCCGAGGCGGGTGGATCACGAGGTCAAGAGATTGAGACCATCCTGGTCAACATGGTGAAACCCCGTCTCTACTAAAAATACAAAAAATCAGCTGGGCATGGTGGCGCGTGCCTGTAATCCCAGCTACTCAGGAGGCTGAGGCAAGAGAATTGCCTGAACCCAGGAGGCGGAGGTTGCGGTGAGCCGAGATTGCGCCATTGCACTCCAGCCTGGGTAACAAGAGTGAAACTCCGTCTCAAAAAACAAACAAAAACAAACACATCACACCCTTACCACTCGTCTATTAAAGGTAGGTGCAGAAGAGGTTGCTTGCCCCACTGTGGGCTCTTTAAACAACTTCTTGAATCGTGTTCAAGAGGAACATACAGCTCCTGTGACATGGGGGAGAGGGTCCCACGAGGCATCCACAGCTGGAATTAGGAGCTGGAGGTCTGGCCTTAGTTTTGCCCCTGTGGGATGTGTGGCCTTCACAAGTCCCTTGTCCCCTCCTGGCTACAAAGTGGGGTTGATCTCGAAGTACTTTTCTTGCCCCTGGTTTTTGGTCTTTGGCTTTGGAGGGAGGAGGGAGCCACATGCAGGGGCAGGATAGTAGTGTCTGGGAGGCGGTGCCCTCCAGGCAGCCAGACAGTACCATGAGTGGCACCATCTCGCCAACCTGTGTGAAGCTGGAAAGTCTCCACACTCACTCCGACACCCCAACATCCTTAAATGCCGCCCTGGGGCTCCAGAAAGGAAAAACGTCAAGGGATCTGGGGGCTGGGTCCTAGAAGCTAATATCACCAGCCCCCAGCCCCTGACCTGTCTGACTCAAACAGTCTCCCCGGGCCTGACTCGGGCTTTTCAGGAGAGGAGGGCAGGAGTCCTGGAGTTATTTCTTGTCCCATCCACAGCACGTGTCTCATTCTTCATTTTTGAGAGGAAGAAACTGAGGCACACAGAGGTGAAGCAATAAGGGTAGGGGAGGAGGGTCAGAACACCAATGTGAACCTAACTCCATCCATTGGAAGTGGCATTCCTGGTAATAGCTCTGCTTGTACTGGCCTGGGCTGGGTGCTGGGACCACCTAGAGGGCAGGCCTAAGACCCAGGCCTAGATACTGGGATCGGGGTGCAAGAGAAGGGCAAACATACTGACCTGCTGATCATGGCCAAACAACTGGGGGATCAGGGAGGCCTGTCCAAAAATCTGCAGGAAAGAGAGGGTGAGGGTTATGGGAGGGTCAGGGCTGGGGCTGGGGTGGGGGATTCAGAGTCAGTTGCAAGGAAACTTGAAGCTGGCTGGTATAACCTCCTCCCCAGACTGGCTGGGACCCAGGGCTAGGAGGTCTCACTTGGCTTCTTCCAGGGATGGGAGGCTCACTCCTTCTGGGGCTGGGCATTACCGAGGACTATAATCTGCTGTTTCAAAGTCCTGCTTGGCTGGGCATGGTGGTTCATGCCTGTAATCCCAGCACTTTGGGAAGCCAAGGCAGGCAGATCACCTGAGGTCCAGAGTTTGAGACCACCCTGACCAACATGGAGAAACCCCGTCTTTACTAAAAACACAAAATTAGCCAGGCGTGGTGGTGCATGCCTGTAATCCCTGCTACTTGGGAGGCTGAGACAGGAGAATCACTTCAACCTGGGAGATGGAGGTTGTAGTGAGCCAAGATCATGCCACTGCACTCCAGCCAGCCTAGGCAACAAGAGTGAAACTCCATCTCAAAAAAATAAACACATAAAAATAAAAATAAATTAAATAAAAATCCTTCTTTAGGTCTAGCCCCTGGAACCATGGATGCTCTGCCTGCTGCCTCTTATCTGGCAGGCAGCCCACCTGGAGATACAGATTAGGAATGGACCCCAGAGCCTGCTCTTCCCCAGGCTCAGATATCTCTGACTTTGGAGCCAAATATGTGGCTTCGGTCACTCAAGCTTCCAGGGTGAGGCTGTGAGGGGTCAGAGGATCCTGGACTAGGAGAGAACCGGGACTGGGCAGCGGGTGGTGGGTGAGGCCTGCTGGGGTCCCAGCCTGGCCTGTTCATAAGCCTTTTTGTATAGTTAGAGGTCAAAGGTGTCCCAGGTGCCAGGCCCAGGCGGGGGTGGAGATGGGATGTGCAGAGGGACAGACAGACACAGAGAGAGACATGGAGATGGAGACACACTGGAGAGAGTCAGAGAAAAATGTGAATGAGGGCAGAGAGAAGAAAGAGAGAAGAACAGACGGAGACAGACACAGAGGGGAAGACTGAGACGAGAGAACGTGGTGGGATGGGAGAGACAGGGAAGGATTCCATCTACTCCTCAAACACCTACTGAGCATCTGCCCTGTGCCAGGCACTGTGCCAGGTGCTGAGGACACTGCAGGGAACAAGACAGCAAGGGCCCCACCCCCAGGAGATCCCAGTTTTAAGAGGGAGACAGACATTCAGTAAATAAGCAAATGATTCTAATTCCAGGCAGTGATAGTTAAGCAGGGGTAAGGGAACAGCACCTGGGAGGGCTACTTTACACACAGCGATCACAGGCGGCCTCTATGAGGAGGTGATATTCGAGCCAAGACCTGAAACTCGAGGAGGAGCCAGTTGTGCAAAGATTTGAGAAGAGAGCTCCTGCAAGAGGGAACAGCAAGAGCAGAGAGCTCGGGGCAGAATGATGTGGCCTGCAGGAGCAGAAAGGAGGCCGGTGTGGCTGGAGCAGGGCAAGGGACGGGGTCTGACAGGGAGGCAGGGCCTAAGTCTTACAGGGCTTCGCAGGTCCAAGGAAGGACTCTGTCTTTCCTGCCGGAACAGGTGGGAGCCAAGGGAGGGTTTGGAGCAGGGGTGTGGCTTTGACAGCTCCCTTTGCCACTGAGTATGGATTGGAGAACAGCCATTCAGGTGTGACTTGGTGGGGCCTGGATGAGGGTGGCAGGGGCAGGGGGTTCCCAGGGCTGGGGCACTCTACCTTTCCCCATGTCTCAGGGGCTGGAGGAGGGGCTTGGCCAGGCCAGGAATAATGGAGTTGTGAGGAGTTGGGGGTCCCAACACCTTCTAAGCTGTCCTCTAGCCCTGGCCCTGGGCCTGCACCTCGCTGGCCCACTGTCTACTACTACTAGCAGGGGTCTGCCCCTCTTGGGGCCTCATCTCCCCATCCACGCCATAGGGGTGCCTTTCGGTTCTAGCTGGTTCTCCCTTTGCAAACCCTAAAGTGCTGAGTACATGGCAGGAGCTGAGGTCCAGGTCCGAGTTGGACAGCTCCAGATCCCTGACCAACTTTGAGTTCTCCTAGCTGCATGACCTCACCTCTCCCAGCCTCAGTTGCCTCACCTATGAAATGGGGATATGGAAAACAAGGCCACCTCTAGGGGTGGTGGGGGACTCAAGGAGCTGAAGGTTGAGAGGGTGTCATAAGAATGCAATGTGCAGCACAGTGTGCTCCTCACTGACACAGGCAGAGCTGCCTGCACCTGGGAGCCCAACTGCCCACTGAGCAGGTGGGCATAGAGGTCCAAAGTAGAGCAGTCACTTGCTGGAGGTCACACAAGATGCTAATAATAACCAGAAAGGCAGCTGCCTCCTGCTGAGCACATGGCAATCACGATTCCACTTATTCTTCTCAACAGCCCCTGAATAGAAATGTTCACCCTCCTCTGGTAAATCAGGAAACCGAGGCTCAGGAAGGGAAGGTGACTATCCTGGGTTCATACTGTCAAGTGACAAAACTAGGACTCAAACCCAGGTCTCCAGTTCCCTATCCTCATGGTTCTGAACCCAATGAGAAGTGACACGGCCCAGTGCCCCGCTGGCAGCCTGTGTTTACAGCGGTGGTGTGGGCTTCTTTCCTTGGCATCCTGGGTCAGGCCTCATAACTGTGCTCTCTAGCCACAGGACAGTTGGTGGGGCAGAGACACATACAGGAGGCTTTGGGAACAAGGGCCAAACAGAAGCACAGTGCAGACATCTGAGGGTCACTCAGCAGGGGCTCGGCCTGGACATCAGTCCTCCTCCCAGATGGGAGTCAGTGCTCTCCCAAGCCCCCTGACCCTCCAGCCTGCCTGCTACCCTCACCTGGCTGATGCAGCTGGAGTCATTGAGGCTGTCGCTGACGGGGGTGTAGTCCTCTTCCCAGCTTGGACACTTGGAGGGCAGCAGCATGTCCACTGAATCCAGGCGGTCCAGACTCCTGGTGGGGAGTGGGGAGCAGACAGGGCTCAGCCCACCCATTGTTCAGCCTGGGAAACTGAGGCCCAGAGGGAAAAAGACTGGCCATGGTCATCCAGTGGCAGAGGGAAAAACGGAAGTCACTGCCAGCCTAGGCAGTGTGGGGGTGATGAGCAAAGGGAGAACACCCAACTTTTGGAGGCCTTGACCATCTGTGATGCACAGGTGGTCCGCACCTGTGATGCCCCCTGCAGCCACGGGGTGGCAGCACCAGCCTGCATTTGATTGTTTAAGGCCCAAGGCTCGCTCTGCCCAATTCTACAGCTCCTTTCCTTCCTCCCTGCAAACTCGGAACATTTCCAGAGGCTGGATAGAAGTGGATCAAGTTCTACAGTCTGGGGCTCCCAAAGGGTATCAGCTCTGCTGCGACGTTCAAGTGGCTTCTATCAGGCCCCTAGACTTACCCAGTACTTCCATGGCCCCAGCTCTTCAATCTGTCTCACATCTACCTGACCCTGGGCCTCTCCCAATCCTTGTTCTGGGGATAAAATCCAAGCATCCTATAGCTCGGGCCCCTGATACAGAAGGGTTTGGATTGGAATCCAGCTTTCTCTACTGGGTGGCCCTGGGCAAGTCATGACTCCTTACTCAAGTTTCAGTTGCCTCATCTCTAAAATGTGGATGACACTGCCTGCTTGCTGGGGCAGCAGTGAGGATTCATTCAGTAATGCAGATTAAAGGGTACCAGGTCAGGCACAGTGGCCAGTGGGCAAGTGCTAACACACAGCAGCTGTTAACCATTACTGCTACTACTACTACTGTTAGTATTGCTTCCCCCGAATTCTAGGCCTAAACCCCAGGCTTCCTGCCTTTCCCACCTTAGTGCCCACTGACTCATAGAACTGTAGGATCTCAGTACTAGAAGGGATCTTAGAGATCCTCCAGCTCAGCCTCTTCACTTAAAGATGGGGAAACTGGGCTGGGTGCAGTGGCTCATGCCTGTAATCCTAGCACTTTGGGAGACCAAGGCAGGCAGATCACCTGAGGTCAGAAATTCAAGACCAGCCTGGCCAACATGGTGAAACCCTGTGTCTACTAAAATACAAAAATTAGCTGGGCATGGTGCTGTGCACCTCTAATCCCAGCTACCTGGGAGGCTGAGGCAGGAGAATTGCTTGAACCTGGGAGGTACAGGTTGCAGTGAGCCGAGTTTGTGCCACTGCACTCCAGCCTGGGCGACAGAGTGAGACTCCGTCTCCAACAAAAAGATGGGGAAACTGACCAGGCATGGTGGCTCACACCTATAATCCCAGCATTTTGGGAGGCCAAGGCAGAAGGATCACTTGAGCCGAGGAGTTCAGCACCACTCTGGGCAACATAGTGAGGCCCCAACTTTTCTCTCTCTCTCCATATATATATATTTCTTTTTTTTTTTTTTCTTGTGAGGGGGACAGAGTCTTGCTGTGTTGCCCAGGCTGGAGTGCAGTGATACTATCTCAGCTCCCTGCAACCTCTGCCTCCCAGATTCAAATGACTCTTGTGCCTCAACCTCCCTAGTAGCTGGTATTACAGGCGTGCACCACCAAGCTCCTCTAATGTTTATATTTTTAGTAGAGATGTGGTTTTGCCATGTTGACCAGGCTGGTGTCTAACTCCTGACCCCAAGTGATCTGCCTGCCTTGGCCTCCCAAAGTGCTGGGATTATAGGTGTGAGCCACCACACCCAGCCACAAAAAATTATTTTAAAAAATTTGGCTGTTGTTCTCCACCAAGGTGGAGAAGAATAATAGAGAAAAAAAAAAATTGGCTGGGCATAGTGGCTCATGCCTGTAATCCCAGAACTTTGGGAGGCCAAGGCAAGTGGATTGTGTGAGATCAGGAGTTTGAGACCAGCCTGGCCAACATAATGAAATCCCGTCTCTACTAAAAATACAAAAAATTAGCTGGGCATGGTAGTGGGCACCTGTAATCCCAGACTAGGGTGGCTGAGGCAGGGGAATCGCTTGAATCCCGGGAGGTGGAGGTTGCAGTAAGCCGAGATCACGCCACTGTACTCCAGCCTGGGCAACAAGAAGAAAACTCCACCTAGAAAAAAAAAATTAGCTGGGCATGGTAGCCCATGCCTGTAGTCCCAGTTACTCAGGATGCTGAGGTGGGAGGATCGCTTGAGCACAGGAGGTTGAGGTTGCAGTGAGCCATGATTGCACTACTGCACTCCAACCTGGTGACATAGTGAGACCCTGTTCCCCACCCCCAACCCCCCCAAAAAGATGGAGAAACTAAGGTTCAGACAGGGACAGACCTGGGAATGGCTGGTGGTATCCTGAATTGCAAACTGGAGGCCGTTCCCTGTCTTCTGCCCAGCCACCTAGACTCCTGGCTGCTCCGAGAACACTGCCTTCTTCCTGCCTAGGTACCAGTGTTACCTGACCTGTTCTCTTCCCTCTGTCCCAGGCTTCTCAGGCCACCTCCTCCAGGAAGCCTTGGCTCCTGTCGCCTGTAGTTGAAGATCTAGGAATAAGCTTGTTCTCTCTCACTGCTCCAAATCTTACAGCACAACACCATAGGGGTTGGCTGGTGAATTTCAGGAAGGCACTGGGACAGGCAAAGGCTGTCCATTACTCTTTGGCTTCTGGATTCACCTCCCTCCCCCATCTCAGAGCTCCCCTCAGGGATCAGTTACAGTGGCAAGAGTAGAGAGGGCTCTGGCCTTCCCTGGGCAGTGCTGTTACAGGTGATGCACTCACTCAGGGCAGGTTCTCCTAACCTGGAGACCAAGATTCCCTGGGACAGTTCCCCTGTGGGAGTGGAACTTACCTGGGGATGTGGCTCCTGTGGGAGGGGTTTCCCTGGACCTATACCCTGAGGGTGATTTTTCATTATCCGGGTTTACCAAAGGATGCGGCTCACCTGTGGTCAGGGCTGAACTGTGGGCGGGGCTCAGGGGGTGGTTCTCCAATTGGCGGGGCTATTAGAAGTCAATTCATCAGAGTGCAGGGCCAGTCTGAGGATCTCATTGAGGGAGCTAACCTGACGGCGTGTTCACTTAGGGGGCCTGGATCATTATAGCAGCGAGTTCACCTGGATCTGAAGCTGAGGGACAGGATTCATCTGTGGTCTGGGCTTTCTGGGGGCGGCCGAATGGGAGGAAGGTGAGGCTCCCACGGTGGGGCATACCTGTGAGGATTCATCTAGTGGGCGAGGCTTGCGGGTGAGCAGGACTTGTACTTACTGAAAGAGGTTTTCCCCGGGAGGGCTCACAAGTGGGCGGGGCTCACCCGTAGGGGCGAGAAATGTCCCTGGGCAGGGCTTCCACGCGGACGGGGCTGTTCTTTTTGTTTTTGAGTCTGAGTCTCCCTTTGTCGCCCAGGGTGGAGTGCAGTGGCACGATCTCGGCTCACTGCAACCTCCACCTCCCGGGTTCAAGCAATTCTCCTGCCTCAGCCTCCTGAGTAGCTGGGATTACAGGTGCCTGCCGCCACGCCCAGCTAATTTTTGTATTTTTAGTAGAGACGGGGTTTCACCATGTTGGCCATTCTGGTTTCGAACTCCTGATCTCAAGTGATCCATCGGCCTCGACTTCCCAAAGTGCTGGGATTACAGGCGTGAGACACCGCGCCGGGCGGGGCTTATTTTAATGGGAGGTTCTCGGATAGCCGGACTCAGTGGGCGGGGCTTGCCTGTGGGTGGGACCCTAGGGGTGGAGCTGCGCTTTCACCTGCGGGGGTTGCTCTGCTCTCCCAGCGACTGCTGCGTGGCCCTCAGATAGCTCTGGCGCCGCGCTGCGGTCTTGGGTGAGGGCTTGGGACTGCCGCCGGACTCATCGCTGTCCTCGTCGCCCATGGCCTTGATGTAGCTGCCGCTGCGCATGCGCCGGCACGGGATGGGGCCCTCGGCCGCGGCATCCGTCTCGCGTGGGGACAGCAGCGCAGTGCTCCACTCGCCGCCGCCGCCGGGCACCTGGGGATGGGGCAAGGATGGGGCACAGGACTCAGCAGGGCCACCGTGGAAAATGAGCAGAGGGCGACAACCCCCATCTCCGGGACCTGAAGCTCCCTCGTTCCTTGGAGAGTTCAGCCTCACGTGCTGGGTTTCCCGCCTTTGAAACTACGGGCAGCAGAGCAGAGCCCTGGGCTGGGAGGAATACCCAGGTTTCAGAGCCTCTCCAGCCTCGGATTTCTCCATGGATCTCAGGCTCGGTTTGCCCCAGAAGCAATGCCCTAGGCCCTGTTGGCACAATGGCCTCCACTGTAGCCATCTCTATGGAGCCCCACAGTCATGTCCCTTGGGCTGTCTCGGGAGATGCTTATGATCCCATAGCACAGATGGGAACACCAGGCCTGAGGGACGCCAGGCCTAGGATGGGGGAATCAGAGGATCCTGGCACATCAGCATGGGGGGCATGGGGTCCCAGAGCCAATGGCTATTCTTTGTCCCACAGGTGGGGAAACTGAGGTACAGAGAGCAGAGGGGTTTCCCTGGGTGAGGTAGCCACGGGGAGAGCTGGAAAAAGGGCTCAGTTTTCCCATCCAAACTTCAGTGACTGTCCATGGCTGTGATAGGGCAGGTAAGGTGACGGCTGTGAGGGCAGCCCTGGTCCCTGAGTCTCCAGTCTTTATGGTGGCAGTAGCCAACCGAGGGGACCTCCCCTGCCCTTTTGAGGCTGGGCTCTGCTGGCTGTCCCAGGGCAGGGCACACAAGCAACATTCCTCACCATTCATTTACCCTGTTATGGAAACACAGTGGATGGCCACTGTGAGATGAAAATTGCACACATCTCAGCACTTACACACAGCCTGTGCACAGAGTGAACCTGCCTCATCCTGTACACATATCTCAATAGGTACAGAACAAGCATATGCCCCATGCCCCTCAGGGAGTACCCCCAGTGTACCACATACTTCACCAAGGACACACACCAGCAGCCACTTCATCACGGCAACTCCTCCACAAGTATGCAACATATACACAGAGCACACCCACCTTCCCACTACCCTCCCTCTAGACATTCGCACCAGCAACTACTGCACTGTGGACACACATCTCAACGTGTATCCACTTTGCACTGTCCCCAAGTCAGCATGCACACAGCATATCCCTCAGTAGGGCTGCACATGTCACCGTAGATGCCCAAGCCCACACATTCAGTGTACACAGCATGCCCACTCTCTGTTGCATACACAAATGCACACACCCCAAGGGCGACACCCACACAGGTACCGCACCCTTCTCTGTGCCCTCTGTGCCAGGAGCCCACTTTCCACAAAGGAAAGGTGCCATCCAGTTCTCCCACACCAGCGCCGTCCAGCCTTCCCATAACTCCCCAGCAGACTGCCCAGCCTAGGGCCAGTGCATTCTACCCACAAGTCACTTGCTAGTCCAGCTCCACTATCCCTGCTGTCCCTTGGGAATGTGGCCTTGTACATCCCTGCTCAGAAACTGTTGCTAAGCCACCCACTCATCTCCTGTCACCCAAGCAGGCAGCACAAACTCCAGAGCCCACAGGGCCACCCTCTCCTGGTATTTCTGCGGCACTGTTACATGATCGGACCCAACTACACCATTTTGAGAGGAAGCCAGGTCACATATCACCCTCTTTAATGGTTCTAAACCAAGGAAGCAGTTTTAGAACTACAAGAGCCCTAAACATATCAAGTGCTGCCTGGATTTCAGTTTCCTCATATTGAAAAAGAAAATGGTCCCACTGTTTCTGGAATTTCGTACAAAATGAGAAGAACTCAGGGCTTTGTTAGACCCTAAAGATCATCTCATTCAAAATGCATCTCATGGCTGGGCGCAGTGGCTCATGCCTGTAATCCCAGCATTTGGGAGGCTGAGGTGGGTGGTTATCTGAGGTCAGGAATTTGAGACCACCCTGGCCAATATGATGAAACCCTGTCTCTACTAAAAATACAAAAATTGGCCGGGTGTGGTGGCTTATGCCTGTAATCCCAGCTACTTGGGAGGCTGAGGCAGGGAAAATCACTGGAACCCAGGAGGCAGAGGTTGCAGTGAGCCAAGATAATCCCATTGCACTCCAGCCTGGGTGACAGTGTAAAACTCCATCTCAAAAAAAGAAACAAAAAACGAAACAAAAAAAAGGCTGGACGAGGTGGCTCAGGCCCTGCACTTTGGGAGGCTGAGGCAACTGGATCACCAGAGGTCAGGAGTTCAAAACCAGCCTGGCCAACATGATGAAACCCCATCTCCATTAAAAATACAAAAAATTAGTTGGGCATGGTAGTGGGTGCCTGTAAGCCCAGCTACTCGAGAGCCTGAGGCAGGAGAATCACTTGAAGCAGGTGGAGGGGCAGAGGTTGCAATGAGCCTAGATTGTGTCACTGTACTCCAACCTGGGCAACAAGAGCGAAACTCTGCCTAAAATAAAAAAAAAATTATTCTCATCAGAGTTCTCAAGGGCTGGCCAGGCCTACGCTTGCATTCCCCTTGAGATGAGATGCTCACTACCTACAGAAGCAGCTGCTTCCACCTAAAATCTGCTTCCTATAATTTCTACCCACAGCCTGGCTTTGCCCTGGGGAGCCATCCAGTTCACAGCCCCTCACCCTGCCCTTGAGAGCCATGGGGAAATGTGCAGCCACAGTGATGTCTCAGCCTTCTGCCACTTTCAAGCCATGTGACCATGGTGTACAGCAAGTTCCCCGATCAGTGTTAGCATTTGAAGGGAGAAGGCTATTCCCTCAAGCTGGATTAGGACCCCTTGGGCTCCTGCAGCTCTTGGTGCTGCCGACACTGACATGACCGTCCATGTCTTTCCCAGTGTCCTGATCTTTGGGACTGTGTCTTTATTTCCAACTCTGTTCATTTAATTGTCCATCTGTCCATCTTCCCCTCCCTCACTCACATTTCCTGAGCACTTCCTGCACGCTAGACCCTGTCCTGGGCCTTGGGGACACATGGCTGCATCGGATGTGGTCCTTGTCCTCAAAGAGCTGTCAGTCTGATGGGGGTGGCAGGCAGAGGCTGGCAATAAGAATGCTATGCAACTGGTTCTGTGAGGGGTTGGGATGGCACAGCTTCCAGATTTGTCTTCTAAAGGACAGGAGCATATTTTAGTCCCTGCACAGGGCTGGGCTCAGAAAGGCCCTAATTAATCTGTTGAGAGCATGACTAGTGGAAATACTCCCTGATTAGCAGGTACCACCGGCCCCCCATTTTATAGTTGAGCCACAGAGGCCCAGAATGAAGTGACTTTCCACATGAATCCCTGGTACAGCTGGGCCTCAAAACTGGTGCTGTCCCCAGAGCCCTTGCCCCACCCGTGACCCTGGCAGAGACCCACCTGCAGGTAATGGTAGGCTAGACCCTGGTGGCAGGATTTGGACTTGAGCAGGCTCTTATCCAAGGTGGCCGAGGTCTTCTGGCAGACCTCGTGGGCATGGCTGAGGGTCAGAGTGGACCAGGAGCCCCGTTTGACATAGTTGGTGTCAGTGCCCACTCCAAGGCTGGGGCAGGTGGCTGGGGGTGCAGGTGGAGGTGGTGGGGCGGTCAGCTCGGTGGTGTTGTTCTTGGTGGCTTTGAGCATGTGCCCGCTGATGGTGTTGTAGGCATGCATGAAGTAGCGTGGCTGGCTGCGTTCTGGCTGGCGGCCTAGTGTCATCAGCCCGGAGGCTGGGCCGCTGCTGCGGAAGGCGCCGGCCTCGCCGTCCAAGTTGTCATCGGAGCTCCACCAGCCTGAGATGTTGGAGCGACTGCGCCGTTTGGGCTCCCCAGCCTTGGCCCGCTCCTTGCTTTTGGCCCTCCGGCCCTTGCCGTCCTCCATGCCACCCTTCTTGCTGCCATTGCCACCGACCTTGCCCGCTGTGCCCTCCATTGAGGGTGCCTTGGTGAAGAAAAGCCGCTGCACTGAGTGGACCAGGTGGCGGATGCGGCCAGGGCTCTCACCACGGGCCTTGGCCTCGCCACGGGGGAACTGGAGGGTGCTGAAGCCATCACGGTGGATGGGCAGCTGCTTCTCAAACTGGTCCAGGAGATTGGCTGGCAACCGGTTGATCTTGGTGGCCTGGGCATGGCTGGGGAAGGGGCTCTCCTCTGGCACCTCGAAGTGGGAGTTGTAGTGGATGCGGGGAAAGGTGCTGCTGGGTGGGGGCAGCTGGTTGTTGAGGGGAAAGAGGCCATCCCCCGGCAGGGTGTTCTGCCCGGGGAAGCGGGCCTCACGGGCGAAGGCCTCTGTGGGCGACAGCAGGTAGGGGTTGCGGTCGGTCCCTGAAAACAGGGGCTCATGGGGTGGGTCTAGGCTGTCGGAGAGGTGGCGGGGGCGGCTGTCACCGAGGCCTTTCATGATCCCGGGCCAAAGGCAGGGGCCGTCGCCCTAGCAGGGCGCCCGGGTCGCCTTTCCCAGGCGGCAGCTATCCTGAGGAGAGAAGACAGAGAGCAGTCAGCTGGTCGGCTGGATTGGAGGGGAGGGTGCTGGGAAGGTCAGATCTCAGGGCTGGGAGGGTCTCTGAAGCCAGTCCTCAATGTTGTGGGGCTGAGGTCAGGAGTACACACAGAGGTCCGTGTACTCTGTGTATAAATCAAAGTTACAGCTCAAGCTACCAACTGTTAGACAAACACAGTATCTTCCATTCTTTTAGCTTGATAACTGTATCTTCATAACAACCTGGAAAGTCAGGCTCAGACCCAGAGTTCTGGGTCTCCTCTGAATTCCATGATGGAATATGTAGGAGGGGCTGCCCACCCTCCACTCTCTTTCTGTTTCTGACTCTGTCCCTCATCCTGAGGGTCCACATGCAGGTAAATACCCCGGCCCACATCTCCCAGCTCTGTACACAGGCCCCCAAACGGTCACCCTGGAACCCTAGGATGGTCCCCGTGGCAGTGTCTGCCTCCCATGGGAGGACCCTGTACTGGCCCTGGAGGCAGGTTTGGGTCATTTGGGCAGGGAATCCAGGGTGCCCAGTATCCACAGTGGTCTATGGGGGCACGCAGGCAGCTGGTGGGCATGTCCCCGGGGCTCCTGAACTCTCCTTGCCTTATGGGGAAAATCACAGACTTTTAGAGGGCCAGAGAGGCCTTTATTTTTATTTTTTTTTAGAGACGGAGTCTCACTCTGTTGTCCAGGCTGGAGTGCAGTGGTGTGATCTCAGCTTACTGCAACCTCTGCCTCCCGGGTTCAAGTGATTCTCTTGCCTCAGTCTGCCAAGTAGCTGGGATTACAGGTGCCCACCATCACGCCTGGCTAAGTTCTGTATTTTTGGTAGAGATGGGGTGTCACTATGCTGGCCAAGCTGGTCTCGAACTCCTGATCTCAAGTGATCTGCCCACCTTGGCCTCCCAAAGTGCTGGGATTACAGACATGAGCCACAGCACCCAGACTTTTTTTTTTCTTCTTTTTTTTTTGAGACAAGGCCACAGACAGCTCACTGCAGTCTTAGTCTCCTGGGCTCAAGCGATCCTCCAGGCTTGGTCTCCCAATGTGCTGGTAACATAGCTGTGGGCCACTGTGCCTGGCTAGAGAGGCCTTCCAAAAAGCAGGACCCAGGGCAAGGGCCCACCTCATCCAGGTCTGAGGGCAGTACCGTCCAACTCTTTTTGTTTGTTTGTTTTGAGATGGGGTCTTTCTCTGTTGCCCAGGCTGGAGTGCAGTGGCACAATCTTGGCTCACTGCAACCGCTGCCTCCTGGGTTCAAGCAATTCTCTGCCTCATCCTTCTGACTAGCTGAGATTTCAGGCGCCTGCCACCACGCCAAGCTAATTATTTGTATTTTTAGTAGACATTGGGTTTCACCATCTTGGCTCAGCTGATCTTGAACTCCTGACCTTGTGATCCACCTGCCTCAGCCTCCCAAAGTGCTGGGATTACAGGTGTGAGCCACTGAGCCATCTAACTCTTTAACAGAAGAATTCTTATGGCCAAATGTAAGCCCTCTGCAAAAACCTATTCTGCCCCTCACCAAATGTCTACCGAGTGGGGCTGCTGGGCTAGGTGCTGAGGGCTTCAGACACCAAAGAGGCCAACAAGCCTACAGGCCCATCATTTCCAATCGAGATGAAGCAACAATGGGCTGGAACAGAGCTCTCAGAGTCAGTAATAGGAGCACATCCTTAGGACAAGGCAAGGTCTCACAAGGGGGTGGCATTTAGGTGCTGTGGCTGTGCCTTTGTTTCCCCGGCTATAAAATGGGGTAGTTGGACCCCTTTCCAGAGTTTTCCAGCCAGGATCATCCTAGAAATACTAGTCCAAAACTTAAGTAAGTCCCTTCCCTTTTCTGGGCCCAGGCCTCAATCTTTCTGTCTGCCATGGAGCAGAGGTTAGGGAGCTTTCTAAGGCCCTGGCCCCCACCGGCCCTGTATGTGGGAGTCCCAAGACTTGGTCTGGCCTGAGTCTGGTGTGCTGAGGATTGGCAGAGTCAATGTGGCTGGGGCAGAGCAAGTGAGGACAAGGGTCATGGAGGGAGGGTTCTCAGAGGGGCTGGATGAGGTCACAGCGCAGAGGCTCTGGCTGACACGAAGCATGGAGGGCAGAATAATGGCCCCCAAATATGCCCATGACCTTGTCAAAAGGAACTTTGCAGGTGTGGTTATTTTGCAAATGTGATTAAATTAAGGATCTTGAGATGGGGAGACCATCCTGAATTATCTGGATGGGCACAACCTAATCACTCAGTCCCTATAAGAAACAGGCATGGGCAGGGCATCGTGGCTCACATTGTAACCCTAGCACTTTTGGAGGCCAAGGCAGGCTGATCATGTGAGGCCAGGAGTTTGAGACCACCCTGGGCAACACAGTGAAACCCCATCTCTACTAAAAAAAATTAGCTGGGTGTGGTGGCATGTGCCTGTAATCCCAGCTACTTGGGAGGCTGAGGCTGCTGGAGAATTGCTTGAACCCAGGAGGTGGAGGTTGCAGTGAGCTGAGATTGTGCCACTGCACTCCAGCCTGATTGATAGAATGAGACTCTGTCTCAAAACCAAAAGGAAAAAAGAAACAGGCACGGCCGGGCACAGTGGCCTGGCTCTGTGTGGCTTTGTGTTGTCTGGTTCTCAGACTGGCACTCTTTGTCTCACAGGATGTTCTGGAGGTCAGAGTCTAAAACAGATTGCAGAACTACATTCTCTCTGGAGGCTCTAGGGGAGAATCCATCTTCTTCTTCTTCTTTTTTTTTTTTTGTGAGATACAGTCTCATTTTGTTGCCAAGGCTGGTCTCAAGCTCCTGGCCTCAAGCAATCCTCCTGCGTTGGCCTCCTAAAGTGCTGGGATTACAGGTGTGAGCCACCGTGCCCAGCCACCTCTGCCAGCCTCTGAAGGCTGCCTGCATTCCTTGGCTCATGTCCCCACATCACTGTAATCTCTGCCTCTGTTGGCACATCTCCTCTGACTCTGACCTTCATGCCTGTTTGTTTGTTTGTTTGCTTATTTATTTATTTTTGAGACAGAGTCTCAAAGGCTGGAGTGCAATGGCGTGATCTCGGCTCACTGCAACATCCGCCTCCCGGGTTCCAGCGATTCTTATGCCTCATCCTCCCTAGTAGCTGGGATTACAGGCATGCACCACCATGCCCAGCTAATTTTTGTATTTAGAAGAGATGGAGTTTCACAATGTTGATCAGGCTGGTCTCAAACTCCTGACCTCCTGTGATCTGCCCACCTTGGCCTCCCATAGTGCTGGGATGACAGACGTGAGCTACTGCTTGCAGCCTGCCTAGTCTTTTTTCTCTTTTTAAAAAAATTGAGGAGAAATTAATGTAAAATAAAATTTGTCATTTTAAAGTGCACAACTTAATGACATTTAGTAAGTTCACAATGTTGTGTAATCACTATCTCCATCTACTTTTGAAATATTTTATTTTATTTCATTCTTTTTCTTTCTTTCTATAGAGACAGGGTCTCACTCTGTTGCCCAGACTGGAGTGCAGTAGCGTGATCATGGCTCACTGCTGCCTTGACCTCCTGGGCTCAAGTGTCCTCCCACCTCAGATTCTCGAGTAGCTGGGACTATAGGTACATGCCACCATGCCCAGCTATTTAGAAAAGACTTTTTTTTTTTTTTTTTTGGTACAGACAGGAGTCTCACTATGTTGCCCAGGCTGGTCTGGAATTCCTGGGCTCAAACAATGCTCTTGCCTCAGCCTTCCACAGTGCTAGGATTACAGGCATGAACCATTGTGCCCAGCCCTGAAACATTTTCATAACCCCAAAAGAAAACCCCATACCCAATAAGCAGTCATTCCTTATTTTCCCCTCTTCCCAGCTCCTGACAACCACAATCCATAGATACTTTCCATACCTATGAATTTACCTATTTCCCATAGGTTTTACTTTTATTGTAGTAAAATACATGTAACATCAAATTTGCCATGTTAACCATCTTTAAGTGTACAATTCAGTGGCATCAAAGACACTCAACAATGTTGTGTAACTATCACCACCATCTATTTCCAAAACCTTTCCATCATCCCAAACAGAAACTCTGTACCCATTAAGCAAAAACTTTTCTCCTCCTTCTCCTAGTACCTGGTAATTTCTTTTCTTTTTCTTTTTTTTTTTTGAGACAGAGTCTTAGACTTGCTCTGTCGCCCAGGCTGGAGTGCAGTGGCATGATCATGGCTCACTGTAACCTCCCCCTCCTGGGTTCAAACAATTCTCCTGTCTTAGCCTCCTGAGTAGCTGGGACTACAGGCACATACCACCATGCCTAACAAATTTTTGTATTTTTAGTAGAGATGGGGTTACACCATGTTGGCCAGGCTGGTCTTGAACTCCTGACTTCAAGTGATCCGCCTGCCTCAGCCTCCCAAAGTGCTGGGATTATAGGTGTGAGCCCCTGTGCCCAGCTGCCCCTGGTAACTTCTAGACTACTTTCTGTTTCTCTGAATTTGCCTATGCTAAATTGTTCTCAATATGTGGAAGAATATAGCATATGTCATTTTGTGTCTGACCTATTTTATTAGCATAATGTTTTCTAAGTTTATTCATGTTGTAGCATGTGTTAGAACTTGTTGTGTAATCATCACCACTATCTATTTCCAAAATCTTTCCATCACCCCAAACAGAAACTCTATACCTATTAAGCAAAAACTTTCCTCCTCCTTCTAGTACCTGGTAATTTCTTTACTTTTTTTCTTTTCTTTTCTTTTAAGACAAAGTCTCAGAGTCTCTGTTTTATGGCTGCATAATATTCCATGGTGCATATACAGTACATATTGTTTAATCCATTCATCTTTGGATGGACACTTCGGTTCTTTTTACCTTTTGGCAATTGTGAATAATGTTGCTACAAACAATGGTGTTCAAGTATCTGTTTGAGTCTCTGTTTTCAATTATTTTGGGTTAATATCCAAGTGGAATTAATTGCTGGATCATATAGTAATTCTATGTTTAACTTTTTTTTTTTTTTTTTTGAGATGGAG